GTGGTTTTGATGTTTTGAGACTGGGTCCCACTGTCCAGAACTCACGATTCTCCTGCGTCAACCTTGAGAGTGTATTACAGTGGACCGCCACATCTCCTGCATTTCTTTCCTGAGTTATTCACCCCTCAGCTCCACCAAACCTCCTGAACGCTCAGCTGACACTATGGGGGCCTGGAAGGCAAGAGGAGGAAGCCATGATCTAAGCCAGCATATTTAACTTGGGGCCTAACGAGGAGGGAGGGAGAGGGGAAAATAATGCCTTTGGCCCATTCCAGTCTCCCCTGTCAGTGTCTCGGAATGGCTGAACCTAATCAAAGCTAAAGGGCCAGGGTTTCTGTTTCTATATTCCATTATGGCTGGGGTGAGGATCACACACAAGGGCAAAGTGGGGTGAGGTGGAAGACATACCCGGAACACCCTTTATAGTGCTAAGAGTCCTAAAGCAACACTCCACCCCAAAAGTGGAGTTCTTTTGGGGCCTCCTAGCTACTCCATCCCTGCTACTGACTGCACAGCCAGACCTAGGGACAAGCAAGGCACACAGGTGGGAGGCATGCTGTGCAGCCAGCACAGTGGTACAATGAACTGTACTGCAAGTCTGATCTCCAACAATGGCTTGTGATGCCAAAAAGGAAAAAGTATGGAGCCAACGTTTAGAAGAGCTGAATTGTGTTCAGGAAAATTTGTCTCTTTGGACCGTGGTTCAACTTTTTAGGGTAAAGAGGAACTTACGGCATAAAGATCAATCATTGCTAGTGACATCAATGAGAAAATTATTTCATAATTCAAAGACTCCTTTTTTATTGATCAAGTATCAGTGACTCATCCAGGTGTGGATGCCCATGCCTATAATCCAGCACTTCATCGTCCGAGATAGGAGGACTCCAAAAGTTTGAAGCCAGCATGGACTATATAGTGAGCTAGCCTAGGCTCAAGAGTGAGATCTTGTCTCAAAAACAAAAGTTTCAACAGCTTTAAACTGTGCCAGTGGCTTTAAGTAATCAGATTTCACTCTAGCTCTGTAAAATAAATAGATAGATAAATAAATAATCTAAGTCAGGTGAGGTAGCAAACACCTATAATCCCAATCCTTGGGATGTGGAGGCAGGAGGATCAGAAGCTTAAGGGCCTGTTTCTTGTCACTCTCCGCCCTCTGCTCCCTAGCTCTGTTCTTGGTTCTACGGCATGTCCTTTTAAAATAATCGGCAGGGTCTTATTTACCCACGGCTGGCCTCAAACTCCAAGCCTAATCAAGGATGACCTCGAATTTCCGATCATCCTACCCTCTATTTCTGCAGTGCTAGGGTAACCGGCTTGAGGCACTGTGTCTACTTTATATGACAGTGCTGGGGATGAACCCAGGGTTTCACGCATGCTGGGTGAGCTGAGTAACTTCCTTAGCCCTAGGTATTTCTTACTTCTACTGAAGAAATTTTCTAACTTTTTTTTTTGCTTTGCTTTTGATAATTGAAGACTAAATAAAGTATCTTATACCTCTATTTTGGAGGACAGTATAGCTCAGAGGCCCGGACCTCTATAGGGCTCTGGATTCAATTCTAGTGGGGCAAAATAAATGAACATTTTTAATATCTCTATTTTTTAAACCATATGGTAAAGCTTTAGATAGATGGTAGAGATAGATAGATAGATAGATAGATAGATAGATAGATAGATATAATCTATACAGAAAAGAAGTCCTTCATCAGAACAAATACCAAGCCCCAAAGCATAGGCTCTGAGAACATTGAACCTGGGAATATCCAGCCCCTGGGCACCCCAGGACTACCCCTAGGTCCACAGAAGAGGAGAGTTGAAGTAGGCATACTCCAAGGGGGCACAAAGCATCCTGGTAGGACCCAGTACCTTCTTTGCAAACATTCTTTTTCCTAGCAGGGCTAAGGGACTAGGTGCAGGGTCTGTGCCCACCTACTTTAGATTTAAGACTCTAAACCCTAAAGTTCACTCTGTCCCCTGGTTTTTGGTTCTTCATCTGTCAATACTCCCCCCATGAGCACTGTACAGAAACAATCTCTGCCTGTAATGAAATATATAACTTGATTAAGAAAGGAGGCAGGCGTTCCTCAAAGACCGGGGAATTAACGGAATGAATGAGGCCTGTGAGCCCTGTTCAGTTGTCCCCACTCCACTCGGGTGGCTCCTGGAGTCTTTCTAGGGCTGGCTTCTTTCAGAAATCTTGTCTATAAATAAAAGAGGAGTCTCTGAAATGATCTAAGGGTTCCCACACTCCCCATCCAGTAACATTGTGAACCATACAACTGACACAACCTATGTGTTTCTTACTTCCCAGGAGAAAGCTTTACTTGAAAGCAATTTTATTGAGATATAACTTACATATAACAAGGTCGGACAAACTTATCTTTGTTTATTTATTTTGAGGCATGGCTTCACGTAGGTGACCTTGAACTTCTGATTCTCTTGCTTTCATCTCCTGTGCTGGGATTATGCACGAGCGCACTAGGTATTTGTTCCATCACACCAGGCTTGTTTTCTTTTAAAGATTTATTTATTTATTATGCATACAACATTCTGCCTCATGTATGCCTGCATGCCAGAAGAGGGCAACAGATCTCACTATAGATGGCTGTGAGCAACCATGTGGTTGCTGGGAATTGAACTCAGGACCTCTGGAAGAGCTCTTAAGCACTGAGCCATCTCTCCAGCCCCGGCTTGTTTTCTTTTAAAGAACTAGAGTCTTGCTATATTACTCAGGTTGGCCATAAACTTGGTACCAAGAAATCCTCTTTTCTGAGTGTGGTGGTGTATGCCTTTGGGAGGCAGAGGCATGCAGATCTCCCTGTGTTTGAAGCTAGCCTTGTCTACATAGTGAGTTTCAAGACAACCAGAGCTTCATAGTGAGATCCTGTCTCAACAAACAAAACAACAACAAAAAGAAAACGAAATCCTCTTGCTTCATTCTCCTCAATAGCTTGGCAACTTGTGCTTGTCACTGTGCCCAGTCTACCCATTTTAAAGGTAAAGCTTGATGAGTTTGGAAAGCTATGTACATGTGTGTAACCATCACCACAAACAAGGCAGAGGACCTTTCTGACTACCAGGTTTTCTGGTGACAGAACTGGGGATGAACATAAAGCCTCAGGTGTGCTAGGCCAGCAGGCTACTTCCTCACCTCCAGTCAGCATAATGCTTTCTCGAATTGTCCACATTCTTGCATGCCAAAGGCTTGTCTCTTTTTATTGTTGGGTGCCAATCTGTCACATAGATTACCACAATTTGTTTGTCCGTTCACCAGTTGAACACTTAAAGTGTTTCCAGTTTGGGCTCTTCTGGATGAGCTGTTATCAAAATGCTAGTATAAACAAACCAAAAACTATGAAGTTCTCGAGTTCTCGAAAATTCATTGTCCAACAAGTAAAAATTGGGTGCTTCTCTGGGGTGTCAGAGAACAAACAGTTGATGATCAAGTTGAAGAGCAAGCAACTGACCTTATAAAAAGCAACTATAACTAAGATTGAGGGTTGGGGAAGGGACCCTTAGACTAAATAAAGAGGGCTGCTGATCAGGCACCTTTACAGCATGGGAAACAGGGATTGCAACATCACTGCTAGGACAGAATGATACATACACTAGTTGTTTCATTTTGACAGGGACTGGAATTGAGCCAAAAGACTCAAGCCTTTTTTCCTGTCTACTTTTTGATGGCCTGTCCAGGCATGGAAACAAAGGGCTCTATTTTCAGAGTCAGAAGAACTTTCCCGTTGTGCAGCTTTGGACAGGGGTACATAATCTTGGCACACGTGTGTGTGTGTGTGTGTGTGTGTGTGTGTGTGTATGTGTGTGTGTACTTTAAGAGCTGTTGGAAAGAGAAGTGTGTATATTATTTTATAAGTGTCTAGTACTTAAGCAGGATTCAGTGAGCATATATACTTAGAAATCATGTTTAAAAAAAAATGTTTCTTTAGGAAGCCAGGATGCTTTAGAGTAGTTTTTAAACCACATCCATTTCTTCCTCCATTATTTTCATAAGCATCGAAGAACTGGATTAGGCCAAATCTGAGTAGATTTTAGAAGCATATCCCATCAGTCCCAAGGAGCTCTGGGTCTCTTCTTCTTTTATCTATGTCCACTCTCTGGTGAACCTGTCTGATCTCCTCGGTGCTTACCCTGGAGCCCTGACTGCAGGTCTTGGGTCCTTTGTAGCCTGGTTTTTTTTTTTTTTTTTTTTTTTTTATCTGGTACCACTCGGGTCCACGGGTTCCCTCTGCGCATGTGTGTGCTCTGTGATAGACTAGAAGGGGTATTAGAAGGAACTGGAGGGTATGGGTTTGAATTCTGACTTTATCGCTCCTGCCCCAGCACGCTGTGTTTTGGTCCCAGCCTTTGGACATCTTTTCCCCATCTACTGCAGGTAACACATTACCTCACTAGGCTGCAACTGGGTTATAGGATGTAATGCTGCCAGACTGTCTCAACAGATGCGTGCTGACTCTTGATCGAGTGCACTTATTAACCAGGCTTTTTACATTTCCCACAATTCCTGAACTCCCTTGGCTGCTTTTGTAGTTCAGATGAAAGGATCTACCTTGAGTGCCCCAGGAATCCCTTGGTGGAGAATCAGTACCGTTCTGAACTAACACACGTCCTTTAGGAAAGAGCGGGGCTATTTTCTACCTCCTCAGGGTTTAGGCTCTCACCTGGGTTTTGAGTTCGAGGGGCTTTCCTTAGGTAGGGGGTTTGGGTTTGTTGGGGTAACCCGCATGCAAGCTGTGGCTCTCGGGTCCCTCCCCTTACCACAACCTCCTCCTCAACCACTTCTCCCGGTCGCGAGCCCTTTTGGGGGTAGGGTGCGTCCTTACTGCTTTTATTGATTTATAACTCCCGGTGCCAGTTGTAGCCACCCCCCCCCCCCCCCGACTGTGTCAGCTAGGCTGACTTTCCACTGTCTTCCCTACGTGGGAGGTGCCCGCTGCCTGTCCCTCCCCCTCAGTCCCGGGCACAGACTCCCTGATGAAGCCTGGGGGTGAGCTGGGAAGAGGCGGAGCAGTGCTCTGCCGCCTGCTCGGTTTGAATGCAGGCACCCGGGCCCCATTGGGTGAGCGTATCCCTACCGGGTGGGGCCAGGTACAGTATTCCTGCGACCAGGTGTTTCCTTTTGTTCTCCCCGCCCCAGGCCACAGTAGGTTTTCCTTGAGCCGCTCCAATTCACCAGCTCCCAGGTGCTGTTTCTGTAAACATTCTCCTTAAGATATTTGGGGGCGAACTGCGGGCCCCGAAGTCATGCCTGGTTGCTTTAAATTTACATTTTTATTAAGGAAGGAGATAAAAAGCAGAAACCAGTGAGAACTGGGAATTGTTTTACTCTATACATGTGATATTTGGGATTTTCAAATTAAAAACACTTGTAACGAAATACTATTGTAGCTTTGAAAATGCATTTAGGAAAAAGAAATTTAGGGCTGGAGATGGCTCACCACTTAAAGGCTAGGCTCATAACCAAAAATACAAGAAAATGAAATTTAGCCATGCTAAATTTAGCCATGTGGTGGTGCTTGCAGGCCTTTAACCCCAGCATTCATCAGGCCAAAGCAGGCGGGTCTTTGTGAGTTCAAGGCCAATCTGGTTTATAGGAGTTACAGGACAGCCAGAGTTACACAGCGAGACCCTATATATATTTTGTCAGAACATAATAAAGACCAGACAGCCACACCTGGCTTTACCTTTTCAATTACACCTGGTCCATTGCCAAGCTGCTTCCCAAAAGGGAACAAAACGGATTTTCATAGTTTCTCTCCCTGCCTTATTTTGTTTTCCAGTCCAGAGCACAACCACCAGAAGACACCAGAAGGAAGCCAGTATTGGGGAAACTTGGCACTCTTTTTACCGCTGGAAGGAGAAGGAACACCAGGAACGGGTTAGAGAGTCCCACCAACTCAAATACCAAATCGGCCCCTTCTAAACTCCCTGAAACAGAGAGTGAGAAAAATAAGGCTCAGGGCAGCCAACCAAAGCCAACCAACGCGGGCTCCGGGCAGGAGGCAGAGGGCCAGCCTGCACAGAGCTGTGATCAGACAACCCCCTGCGATGCCGAACTGACACCTTGCTCCCACAGCAGTGTAGGGGTTGTGCACCAGTGCCACGACAGTGATTCAGCCCAATTAGAAGCTGTGCAGGCAGAGGGAGAGACTTTTCCAAATGCCACCACCGCTGCCAAGGAGTTGCATTCCTCACCGGAGAATTGCTCCGGGCAGGAGAGCGCAGAGACGCTTGCCCACAGTCCGGGGGAGGACGCGTTGCCAGGCGCTGCTGGCCTCCAACCAGAGACAGCGAGGGGTGTGTCGGGGTCGCCGCCTGAGGAGCGCCTCGTGGGAGGACTAGGAGAGGCCCCCGACGGAGCCCCCGGCGTGGGTGCCGAACCGGGCTCTCTGGGGGCCACCGGGGAAGCAGTTGTGCCAGGTGAGCCTCCCTCCGTGGGTGCAGAGACCAGCCGCCCAGCCCGTTCCGTCGATCGCGCGCATCCCGCCAAAGTGCTAACTTTAGACATCTACTTGAGCAAGACTGAGGTAGCGCAGGTGGACGAGCGGGTCCCTATAGCTCCGGGGACAGACGATTGCGACGATTCGGACGACATGGAAAGGAGGTCAAGCGGCCGCCGGTCAGGCAGGCGGAGAAAGTCGCAGAAATCCACGGACTCCCCGGGCGCGGACACCGTGGCGACCGAGAGCACGGCCAAGGACGACGCGGTGTTCGACGACGAGGTGGCGCCAGACGCGGCCGCTGAGAACGGCTCTGCGGAAAAGAAAGTGAAATCGGCACAAGGGACTCCCGACGCGGGCGCAGTCTCGGCCGCCAGCCCGGAGCCCAAGCCCAGCGCCGGCCCCCGGGGACAGCTTCGAGGTGAGCCGGACCGCGGAAAGCAACTGCCGCCCGCCTCGTCGCCCACCAAGCGGAGGGGTCGCAGTCGCGTTCCCGAGGCGGTGCCCAGCCCCGGACCGCGCGCTCCGGCCAAGGAGTCTCCACCCAAGAGGTCACCAGCCGCGGCGGACGGCGGGGAGGAGGCGGGCCGTGTCGTCCCGCGCGAGCTCACAGTCAGAAGCAGCTCCCTGCTGCCCGAGATCAGGCCGGAGCACAAGAGGGGCCCATTGCCCCACCACTTCGACGGCCGGGGCGACGGGGGACGCAGCAGAGAGTCGGGCAGGGGATCAGGAGCATCCGACGCCGACAGCCTGAAGCCCAGGAACCATCTCGGTGTGGGCAGGTCGACTGTGACCACTAAAGTGACCCTGTAAGTAGCTGCGGAGTCATTCTGGGCAGGTGGCTGCTCAAGGTTGTATGGCTGTCTGTCGACTTTTTTTTCTGTTGAAAACTTCAAAGAGAGAAGGAGCTGTTTGCAGAGCTAAGGTTTAGAGTATGACACTTTTGGCAGCCTCCACGGTTAATTCCTGCCTTAATATAAGATCTAAAATCAATGCAAAAATAAGATATGCCTCGAGGCACGGTGCTTACAGAAATAATAGCGATAAGAATTAACGGCTTGATTTAGCTAATTATATTCTTTATCCAAAGTGTCCAGGGGTATTTCAGGGTAGTCACAGGGAGCCAGCAGTATTTTGAGTTGTGATCCAGTGGCTTTTACATGGGAGACTTCAAGAGAACTTAATGAAGTTAGTACATTGTTGTCCAAAGTAAGGCTAGAGGAAGTCTCTAATAATTCCGCCTTCTATGATCTAGGGAGCCTGTTGGTATTTTTGCTGCTGGGCTGGAAATAATATCAGATATTGAGATGATCGCTGTTATCGCTGAAAATTACCTAGTGAAAGGACGCTAAACAACCGACTGTGTCTGCACTCTTAACAATTTAGCAAGTACTTATCGAGCGCCCTTTGTGCTGTGTCCCATGGGGGGACATGACTCACACCTGTGATTCAGTCTGTTGCCCTCAACGTGTACGCCCCCCTTGTGGCAGAAAGAAGCGCACAAATCAAATAAAGATGGCCCAAGTGCCTTTTGCGGCCATAAGGGTTCTGGAGGTACAGGGCGAGAAGTCACTCATTTGCTGGAGGCGCCTGGGCTTGTGCCTTGATGGTAATTGATTTGTGTGGACAAGACAGGGAGGGCTCTCTACAGAACTGATCGTCCTGGCAGGTGAGAATTGGCGAGTGATCAATGTTTTCCTACGTTGATTCACACATTGATCATAAAGGCTGGTCATTTGCAGCCAGCCTTGTTATTTTTTGAACTGAACGGTTTCATTCTGTTTGATTTCTTTAAAGGAGTAAGCTCTGAAATGGGTCTGTTTGGAAGCCAGTGGGGAGAGAGTTGTGCTTAATGAATAACGTTGAACTACCTCACCAGCTGGCAGCCCAGAGACTTTTGACATAATCAGATATTTATTCTGTGATGGTAGCGTCAGGAAAGTAACCAGCGTGAATGATGCCCATTATTTGTGGAAGACCAGTGTGAAATGAACACAGAAACCTGCTAAGCCTTGCTGGGAGAAACCGGGCTGGACGCTCCACCTGTCGTCCAATCAGAAGACAGCAGTGGAAAAACCAGAAAAGTTACACTGTTGAGGGACTGTAAACAAGCTCAGGAAGGGATCTGGCCGTGGACCCGAGCAAGTTGTCTTTTTTTTCTCCCTGCTGGTCATGTTTTAATTTTTTTTTTTTTACTTCACCGCTAATTTTATTTAGATTTCTTTAGTACAGTGCCTTACACATGATGAACAGTGGAAAATGAAGAGTTTTATCTAGTTCTTTGGCTTGTCAGTCTGACAGGATCTTTCAGCCCCATTAGTCCTGTTATAACTGGATTTTAGGTAACGATATTGACAGACTGTGATTTGGTTCTTTGGTGGTCTCACCCTATAGCCCAGGGTGGCTCCTAGCTCACTATGTAGCCGAGGCTGGCCTGGAACTCAAGGCCATTTTGCTACTTTACTGGACTGCAGATGTGAGCCTGGCTTGTGGGGGGTGGGGGGAACTTGTCTGATCAAAGAATTAAAAAAAAAAAAAAAAGAAGCTATATCACCTGAAAAATGATGACTGAATCCTGTTAGGAAAAAAAAATGACACTGACATTATTAAAGGAATATGTTTAAAATAGGGAGGTTCTTCCTTTTATAGCATCGCCTGGGCCCTTTGGACTCCCTCTCACGTCATAATGCAGGCATTACAACACAAATTACAGGAGCCTTCCTTTTAATCAGCCCCAACTGGGTTAATTGCAGAGACTCTTGGTAGCCCAACTTAATGGTAGAGAGTGTGAGCTGTAAAGGTGTTTTGATCCCATGTAAATCTTTAATGAGCAGATATGCTTCCTCCACTTCAGGGATCCTTGGGCTCACAGGGAGCCGTGGGCTCACCGGGAGTGCTTTCCCCACACATCCCCGGTGGACTTTGATGTCCACTTCGCTACTCCTGCTGACTGGCCACATTTTCTTTTTTTTAATATTCCTGGTATGTCCCCTTTGCTTATTAATTAATTAATACAGCATTCACAAACCCTGTGTTTCTTCTCGTCCCACTGGCTCAGACTTCAATCCTGAAGCCTGCTTTTCTGTTTTTGTTTTTGTTTTTTGAGACAGAGTCTCATAGCCCAAGCTGGCCTCTAACTCACTCTGGTTGCCAAGGGTGTTTGTGAGCTGATTCTCCTGCCTCCAGATTACAGGCAGTGGCCACCAAGTCTGAGCTGACAATAAGAAAGCCTGGGTATTTAGGGACATAATAGAGAAGGCAGTGCCTACAAGAATTTCTAAACACATTATCAGGCTCAGATTTATAACCCCGGCTTCTCATTTTATCTCTCTGGCTCAAAAGGCCCCACTTTCCTGGGGCTTTGAGGTGTGTGATGCCAGTCTGGAGAGCTTGTTTTGTTCTTATCTGATAAACCTGATAAAATTAGCTCATTGAACTCTCACTGCCATACCCCATACACCCCTCAACCCTCCTCAAGTCCCTTACTGCCTCCACCCCCACCTTCAGTGATAATATGGAAAGCAGCTGAGGGCTTATTCGAGTTGGTCTAGTCTGACCCCTAATGGGGAAGCGGGGTAGTATGGTATAATGTGGTGTCAGAGACAAAGCTCCTGCTTCAGAGGGAGGCCCTGTCACTAGCCATGTGACTTCAGGAGAGTCATTTACCTTCTTTGTACCTCAGCTTTCTTGCTTTAGAACAGAACTTACAAGTCGTACATGGAGTAAACCAACTTAAGTAACTTGTCAAGTGCCCAGCAAGCAGTGGTTTTCCTTTACTACAGACTGACAAGCCTCTCTGCCTGCCCCGAAGAACGCTTATATGACATGGTTGATGAAATGGAAAAATGGGAATGAATTAGACTGAAAGCAGCTGTGGAGAGCCTCCTGGTCCTGGAGCCTCTGTTAGCCCTAACTGTAACCCCTCAAGGGGACATGGAGAGCCTCCTGGTCCTGGAGCCTCTGTTAGCCCTAACTGTAACCCCTCAAGGGGACATGGAGAGCCTCCTGGTCCTGGAGCCTCTGTTAGCCCTAACTGTAACCCCTCAAGGGGACATGGAGAGCCTCCTGGTCCTGGAGCCTCTGTTAGCCCTAACTATAACCCCTCAAGGGGACATGGAAAGCCTCCTGGTCCTGGAGTCTCTGTTAGCCCTAACTGTAACCCCTCAAGGGGAGATGGAGAGCCTTCTAGTCCTACAGCTTGTTAGCCCTAACTGTAACCCCTCAAGGGGACGTGGAGAGCCTCCTGGTTCTACAGCTTCTCTTTGCCCTAACTATAACCCCACAAAAGGACTTCCAGAAATTCTCTTAACCGTAAGTTTTGGGTGAAATAAAATTAATCCTGCTTTAAATAATTTAGGTGTTTTGTGTTACCTTTTAAGCTAACAGATACAAAAGAAACTAGGCCAGAGATGTGAAATAATTTGGCTAAGTTTACACAGATGTTAGTGTGAGAGCCAGGACCGGGGCTAGGGCCAGCAAATGCCAACAGAACATGTTTTGTTTCTATGAAGGAACACACTGTGTACATTCAAAGGCATTATTTCCAGTAGTAAGTAATTAGACTTAAGAAATGTGATTGAGAGGGGAGACTGCCCAAGAGTAAACCAATTATGATATAATCATACTATGGGATTTTACATAAACATTAAAAAAATTTTTAAGGAAAGCATTTCAGGGACCTCTAATTTATGATGGTAACTCATCCTCTTTCTTAGCAAGAGGCCAGCTGCCAAGCCCCGCGAACACAGCAGTTTCTAATCAAATATTTATGCATCTGAAGCCATCGGGAATGAGGCAGAATGTTGACAGCAAGTTTATGAATGATTTACAGACACTTTCCAGTTTGGGAGAGACAGCTCAGTTGGTATAAAGTAAGGACCTAAGTCCCCAAGACCCATATAAGAGCTGGCCGTGCGAGTGTGTGTCTGCAATCTCAACACTCCTATATTGAGATGGAAGGCGGAGCCAAGAAAATGCCTGGCAGCTCCCAGGCCTGATAGCATGGAGTGTGTGTGTGTGTGTGTGTGTGTGTGTGTGTGTGTGTATGCGCGCGCAGTGGTAAACATCT